CCGCGAGTCACCAAGGGGTGACCCGTGCGCCACACAGGTTCCGAGCCTTGTTTAAGTTCTTTCGGTGTTTTCTGACTTTTCCGGACTTGTACTTTCTACCGATTTGCATATTTGGTTGTCTTGTTGACTTGTACGCATCGCTGATTGATGAGCGCGAGCTGGCTGATGAGCGTGTCTGGTCACTTAGAGCTGACCGACGTGCACGAGCTGATTGATGAGCGCGTTCGGTCACTTGGAGCTGACTGACGAGCGCGTTCGGTCACTTGGGGTTGACCAATGCGTGCGGTCACTTGGAGTTGACCGACAAGCACGGGCCACTCGGATAATCCTTCTTGACTCGGATGATGATATTCATTGTCTTCTCTTCGTCTCGAGCTACGTACGGATACCTATAGGCATTTTTAGACGCCTACAGATACCCCCTCTAAAGTATTTCAGACTCATTCTTTTATAGAGAAGTCTAGAATGCTTTGGATAAGATAGGCCTGGTTTTCAATCTCTTCAGTACTTTATGGAGGAGATCGGGTAGGACCTGTGAATGGCTTCAATTCTTGACTTCTTTAGTCTTTAGCCTTTAATCCATTCAGTATTTTGTCTAATAGATGTAGTTCTTTCGGCACTGCATTTATCATCTGACCGTTATCAAAATCTTGAGCCGAAGTTGGTGTATAAGCATTTGAACTTAGTTCGTGTTGTTGAGTTGACATTGAACTGATCGTCTTCGTTGGGAATTCATATCTGGATCGTAATTGAACTCCCTGAAATCATCCTTTAATCTAGAATTTTTTTCTTAGCCTTATTTTGGCGAAATTGTCGATGCATTAACCGACATTGACCTTTACTGTAACACGTTGTCCGGCGTTGACCTTCACTGTAATGCATCAATCGGTGTTAACACAGTTTATACTCGTACGTTCACTGGAGTCTACATAGTTTAAGCTCTTAAGGTATTGGAGCATGGTGGTCCCAAATGTTAAGGCTACAGGACCAATTGTTAAAGAGTATTCATCTACATGTATAGATTTTATCCTGAAGTTGTTGGATCTTAAGTCACGAGACCAACTAATGAAGCTGGTGCGTCAATGACTCTCCCATTTATAGGATTTTTGACAAACCCTCAGTCATCAACGGGTTTGATTAGCCTTTACCGACTACCGTTTGAGTCGGGCTAACATGCAGATTGTTCAAATCCGTTCCGAACGTAACGATGTGCTAAAAGAGTTAACTCTTTTAGTGCTACGATTTTGAATACGTAGACTTCATCTTTCTCATAGGAATAGACTACCAGACAACACGTGTTAGGTGCTGACTTATCCTAACTTA